GCATCGCAGGGTTCCGTGCAAACCCATCAAAGAACATCACCAACCAAAATCTTGTCGGTACGAACTTGTGTTGGGTTCTGGATCCATCTAATTGAAATACCAGACGATCCGGGACTAAACAATGCCATCTTCCGTTATCAGGGTGCTCCGGACGTAGAGCCACCTGCTAGCAAAAACACAAGTTCTATACCTCTTAAAGAGTCGCAATTAGTGGTGAGATCTTCACAGTGATCAGCTTTGAACTTGTCAATCCGCTTACCCTGCTTCATCATAGCCCTATAACGCCCCCGGCGCGGACTACTGCCGCTATGTCGATCCGAATTATAATATCACATTGAATATTGGTTTGGTAACGAACCCTGATGTGAGTTGAATCAGTTTACATCAACACCATGTCATACTTAGCGAAATTCGGAAGAACACTCGGGAGTGGACAATCAACAACGCATCTTTCATCCCGCCACCTCTCCCCGTCCTGCTGCAGATACTCCATGGAACAAGGAACGCACAGGATTTCTTCCCTAAAGGCGTGGTATATACCCTTCCGAAGAATACTACAATACGGGTGAATATTCCTGATACGAATGGCATATTCGACGCGCACCCATTCCATTTACACGGGGTATGTTACTCATCAAAGTCTTCGCTGTCAATATTGGTGGGTATTGCAATTGACTCTATCAAACAGCATAGTTTCGATCTTATTCGGCCAGCCGGCGAGTACGTAGAAAATTATTCCGATCCACCCAGACGCGACGTACGTCCATTTTCTAGAATCAAAAATCAAAGTTCTGATTATCAGTGCTGTAATTTAGGTGGTCGCTGTCAGTGATGGTGGCCCAGATGGAAAAGATGGTCCGTCGGGAGTCAGCTTCTGCTTCCAGACGGATAATGTCGGACCGTGGATTCTACACTGGCAGGTTTAATTCTTATACTTGGCTTCAAGATTAACTGATACAGCACGGCTAGCCACATCGACTGGCATCTTAATCAAGGATTGGCGGTAGTCTTTGCAGAAGCGCCATACGATATAGGCAAAGTCAGAGCTCGACCCGATCTGGAGGCAGTCTGCAAGGCATTCAATGAATCTGGATTGCCTCCCTCATGATGTGCCGGCTCAGTCTGGTATTCTTGATAGTCTTACAGTTCTACGCGTATGCAGTGCATTGTTTGTTGTTGTGTCCTCGTCGTGGAGAGATCAATAAAAGTATGAATGAGTACTAGAGACCAATCGTTGGGTATAAAGACTCAGAGGGTAGCACTAAACTGGGATTGTTGGTGGTTGTTGCTGCTCGCAGGGACTGCGACAAGAACACTCAATAGGTCTGAAGAGGGTCTGGAGGAGTGGCGATAAGAAGGAGAAGGCCATGCGGTTGACTCACGACGCGATACCTGGACAATCGACGTCTCGGAAACAGCGTGCAGGTCCCTGATCGAGATCGGAATCAAATGTCTTATGTCAGCGACGTCATTTGGCCTTCGCTTGGCCCTTAGCGTGAGATAAGGATGCCTCGAGTTATAGCTCTTATCAGTCTCTTGATGGCTATCTTCTTCAAATGAGTAACATGATTCGTGAAGCTCTTATCAGGGATTCGATTTCCCACCGTCCCGAGGTCGTCCTTGACGAGCCCTACCACCACCAGTATTCTACCCCTCACTCAAATTTGGCTAACCTCCTCGACTCCTGCCATTGAAACTTGGTCTTTTCTTCAAGAAGAATGCACGAGAAGAACATCAATGACATTGATACCGAGAACAGACACGATGATGAAGTATTGAGAAGTCTGGGGATCAAACGAGAACTGAGGAAAGAATTCACCAAGTTCTCTACTCTGAGCTTCGCCATGGGCATCCTTGGGTGGGCGCACCCCTTCGCTTTCGCACCCATTGGCCAACATAATTTGCTAGATGTTCAGCGAGCATAGCATCGACGTTTAATACCCCCATTTTGCTGGGTGGTCCGGGAAGTGCGGTTTATGCATGGTTGCTTGGGTCCGTTGGTTGTATGGCCATTGCGGCTTCTGTTGCTGGTGAGTCATCCCTACTTTGCGTTGGAATATACCCCTCTGACGCGAAAGTCCTACAGAGCTCGTATCAGCTTATCCAACGGTGAGTGCGAATATCTGACTCCCTATTCGGTCCCGATCAACAGGGTCCTAGGCGGGCGGCATCTATACATCTACTGGCTTCGTCGTTCCACCTGAGTACAGGAGCAGTGTAACGTTTGTAACAGCATGGTAAAGGCTTCGTACCGTGACTTGTGTGGCCCCGAACTAACTGGCAGATCGAAGGATGACCGTTGTCGGACAATTAGCCACTCCGTCCTCGGTCAACTTCGCACTTGCTCAAATGATATTTGCCGCGGTGACTATTGCCACGGACGGGACATTTGTGGCATCGACGGGACAGATTCTTGGCCTTTATGTTGGACTGAACGTGGGCATTGGAATTGTCAACTCTTTGCCTACAAAGGCACTGCATCGAATTGCTACTTCTTACGGTTAGTCTTGGGTTTACTAGACGTTGACTTTATGAGTCATCCGAATCAGTTGTTATTAATGTGCTCACTACTCTGGCCGTTATCATCGCTGTTCCCGCTGGAGGCGCTGGGAATCTGGCCAGCCATAAATTTGTATGGGGATCGGTCAGTAACCCGGTCCCGGTCCCGTTCCGCCAGCTCCTAAAATCATAATACAGATAATCGATAATTCTGGATGGAATAGTAGAGGCTTCGCCTTTCTTCTCGGGCTGCTGAGTGTTCAATGGGTCATGGTGCGTGTCCTGTTACCCTTCGGTACATCTCAGTCAACGAGGTCACCTAGACTGATTACGACGGAGCTGCGCGTAAGTTATGTTGATATCGAATAGAGACTTACACTCAGCTGGAACGGTCGTCAGATCTTTCCGAAGAAGTCAAGAATGCGGCAATCACTACACCTGTTTCAATCGTCTCGGCCGTGTTTCTGACTGCTATACTGGGGTTCTTCGTGAATGTTTCTCTGTGCTACGGGATCAGAGACCTGAGTACGATGCCCGGTCCGACAGGGCTGGCCTTCGCTCAGGTAAATTTTGTTCTCCACGATATAGAGGCTCTGTTTAAAGACAAGGTATAGATTCTGTGGGATAACTTGGGGAAGAGAGGAGCTCTTGCGTTGTGGTCGTTCGTGATTATTCTTCAAACTATGACGGGTGCGACGTGTCAATTGGCATGTATACGAAGTGCGTGGTTGCATCTTACCTCAGAGGTACCATTTTTCATTTCATCGAAGGCATCTATGCTATCTCTCGTGATGTATGATTTTCTGCCTGCTGGTAACGTTGATGGCCTTGACGCCTGGCAACAGAATGCACTTCCGGACAAGAAGATACTGTCTCGCGTATGGTCAAAAACACAGACACCGGTGAACGCTGTCATATTTACCGTGATAATTTCTGCATTGTTTGGATTATTGTTCCTTGCGTCCATTGTCGCGGTAGGTCCACTCCCAGGCTTCTTGCTATACGGTACTGAGCGAACACCTAGATCAATGCGGTGTTCAGGTATATACTAGCATAACTTTGTTGAGTGGTCCTGACCTTTCTAAAGCATCACTGCTGTGGCTCTTGATATTTCATACATCGTATGTCGTCGCGATAAATTCCGCGCTCTTGCACTGAAGACAGTCAGATTCCTGTAGTGTTTAAGTTGTTCATACATTACACCAATCGTCAAGACGTCAAGTTCAAGCCAGGACCTTTCAACATGGGCCGTTGGGGATACTTTGTCAATATCTATGCACTCGCCTGGTAAGCTAGTTTCTCGACTCACATATGAAGAAACCACTCACCGCGGACAGGACGTTACTTGAAACAGGGTTTGTCACTCGACATTGCAGGCGATCTTTGCTCAAAATTGATCCCGGATTTTTAGCGTCCTAATCATGCCACAAGTACGTCCCGTCACAGCAGACACGATGAACTACGCAGGACCGATCATGGGAGGTGTTTGCGGTGTGTCGTGGTTGTGGTACAAGTTGTATTGGGTAAGCTCGTCTTTCAGCCAAGATTTGACAGACGTTGACGAGTGTGATAGCATCGGTTCTACACTGGCCCCGGTACGAAATTGCTCACTACCGACGGTGGTGAGGACAGCTCGAGTGACGTCGACTCTAACGTGGAAGTCGTATCGACCGTTGAAGAGGAGAAGGGCCGATTCGGAGAGAAAGATTCGAAGAATTAATTCTGTTGGTCTTACCCTGAACTTGTCAGAATGAATTGTGATTCGGTACCTTGGCTTTTCAGTTCTCAAACTTTGGGGTTGTCAGGATATTGAGTGAGAAATGGCGATGACCGAGACATGGAGGCATTCCATAGGAATCTGATCTATTGCTCGACTATATCGGCGGAGCGTCTCGACGCTAGAGATTCTGATGTAAACATGAGATACTGGTCCTCTTGTTCGGGACTTGCGGCGTTTCCGCGTCGTCTTTGAGAAGCAGGTCAGTTGCGAAAGAAGCGGTGGGCGACTTGTGACTAAGAGTTTCTTTCGCCTTTAGTTGTTACCGGTAAACAGTGTAGCTAAAATGCATATAAAGTGATTCAATCCAGAAAGCAGAAACGCTTCAGTACTCTGTACAAGTCCCTCTTCAAATGGACGTTCAGCTCACCGGAAACGCCTAAGTTCCGTGGAAGAAATTAATGGATATCCAAGGATGTGGCCTGGAGTAGAGCTACTCCCGCCACTGAACAGAATACAGTAATGGAATGTGTGTGTCAACCAGGGACTGACTTCGAGACTTCCTAGGAACCATCATCACAGAATCAGGGAATGAGATGACTTATATTCCTACACGCTGCCGATGGATGCCACCGACTCGGTTCTCGCTCGTTTGTTTTGGGTTGAGCTCAGAGTTGGAAGAGAGTCGACAAGCTCCTCCGAGTCGGACGACGCGCCTTCGGATGGTTCCGAAATCCGACCGTCAAAGCCTTTTGGTGCATCTTCTGGGCCGCATTTACAGAACGGGCGCGTGGCGCAGTTGGTAGCGCGCATGCTTAGCAGTAGCTCGACCGTGGGAACGTGATTACGTAATGCATGAGGGCTAGGGTTCAAATCCCTACGCGTCCATTGTTTTGCTTGTTTTACAATTTTCTTGAAATTTTTACGATTTTTTAAAGCCCAGTTGAGCGGGAAACGGCCAGGAAATGGAAAAGGTACGAGTTGTGGAGCGCGCCATTTTCGAAGCGACGTCAGAGGCGAGCCGAGCGCATCAGAGAATTCGGCAATTCGCTGTCCAAGTTTATTCGTTTGATCGCCGGCCATCCCTTGCCGTTTTCGTCCAACAGTGAGTCAAGGCGGTGCTTTGTTTCAAGTTTGTTGTCTCTTTGTCTCTGCCTTGTGGTACGACAAGGGAGAAGAGCCGCAGCACAATAGATGTCACCATTCATTCATCTGATACTCTTCACTCTTTCACCCGTGCTTCACCGCCTGGCAGAGATAGTCGTGCTGGATTTCTTATTGGTACCTTGACGACAACAATCTCGATCATGAGATCGAATGGGCTTCTACACCGCTTCGAAATGACCGTCGCGGACTCTGCACAGCTCCTTGAGCCCATTTTGGGCACCGCTTCTGATGACTTGTGTTATTCGAACAATAAGCGACCATCTGTTGTGTTGGGGGCTCGCCAGTATATAAGGCTGAGCGAATGTCTCAGTTGTCTCAGTTGCCTTGTTCTCTCTTCTCTCTCAACATCTTCCCTCTTCACGCTCAACGACCACGATGAAGACTGCGTTTGCATCCTTGGCTGTCCTGCCCTTTACTCTGGCTGCCGTTCACCAGATCGCCGTCGGTGGAGATAATATCTTCGCCTTCAACCCCAACAACATCGTCGCCGATGTCGGCGATGTGCTCTCGTTCCAATTGTACGTGTTCTCGTCGTTTGTTGCATGACCTGCGAACTCATCTCTGCCTTAGCAACGTCAAGAATCATACGTTAGTCTAACCTCATGGTGCACTTTCGTTCCTTCCTCACCCGTTCTACAGCGCAACCCAATCGTCCTTTGCGAGTCCTTGTACCAAGCTCCTTGGTGCAGACAACCTCACACCAGTCGGTTTCAATTCCGGATTGTAAGTCATTCCTATTTTTTCTCGTTCTTGCACTAATGTCACTCAGCAACCCCGTCGCCGCCGGGTCTTTGGACCTTCCAGTCTTCAATGTCACCGTCAACGACAGCAAGCCCATCTGGGTTTACTGCGCACAGAAGAATCCCTTCTCTCACTGCGCTGAAAAGGGCATGGTATTCGCTGCCAACGCCCCCACCACCGGCAACACCTTCCAAGCCTTCCTGAACAACGCACTCGCCTCCGGAAACTCGACCACGTCTACCACCACGACTACCTCTGCCACCGCTGCTTGGACCTCACCACCCGCCCCCGAGATCGTCACTGTTACCGCCACTGTCACTGAAGGCGACACGACCTACTTGACAACCTATGCCAGTTGGGAAGGTAGCGCCGCTCCTACTGCTGCTCCCCAACCGGTCAACCATGTCATCGTCGTTGGTGGCTCAGCTGGTCTTGTGTTCACGCCGTCCAACATCACTGCCTCCATCAACGACACCGTCACCTTCCAGTTCGAGTCCAAGAATCACACGTATGTCTCAGACATCTCGAAATTCATGCACTCTCTGAACGTGTTTTTTCAGTGCCACTCAGTCGTCTTTCTCGAACCCTTGCACGGAACTCGCCAAGACTTCCGCTACTGGTCAAGTTGGCTTCGATTCTGGCTTGTGAGTTTTCAATACTCTGCCTAGTTTATCCCGAGGCTTAACCTTCGTCTAGCATGCCCGTCGGCGTCAACGACACCAACTTCCCCTCCTTGACTATCACCGTTAATGATGTACGTCCTTCCTGGCTTGCATTATTTATTGCTTACTAACTGACGCTTTCAGACCGCCCCCATCTGGGGTTACTGCCGTCAGACTAACCCAACCTCTCACTGTGGCTCCGGAATGGTGTTCTCCATCAATGCCGTCGAAGACAGCCCTAACAACTTCGCTGCCTTCCAAGGACTCGCTATCCACAACTCCGGATCCAGTGCATCCACCACCTCGAGCGGAAGCGCGTCCTCGCCTTCATCGTCGGATTCTGGAAAGAAGAGTGGCGCGACTCGTGTTAGCCTGGGTGGCGCTTCTGTGCTCGTTGGAGTAGTAGCTGTTGTCTTTGGCATGATGCTTTGAGATATTTCCTTCTTACCTTTTCACCCCCTATCAGTTCTTTAATGCGTTCGACGATCAGACCTTATGATTATTCGCATCTTATGGTTAGCTAGACCTACTTCTTTCGGCAAAATAATGACAGTTGAATCCTTTATAACAATCACGAATGCTTATGGTGATGATACATTGAAGAGGTGAATATGCGACAGCGGCGAACCCGAGTAGAGATCAAGCTTGTTCCAGGGGTTGAAAACGTGTATAGTACTGCTTTGTATATTGTTCGACCATCTCTTGAGTAGACTCTGGAAGATCTTCCACAAATACCCCTGAGGAAAATGAGCCTTGATGTAACCACAGCTAAAAAAAACTAGAAACCTGGAGCGCCTCCAAATCGTACCAACGCTGGAACGACCGTATTCGGCGGTAAGATTGTGTTGTCTTCGATCTTAGCACAGTCTTTGATGATCGTGAACTTCCCCTGTCGATACGTTAAAATCTCATTACGATAGCGATCTTGAAGACTTGCGATGATGCAGTTCTTGCCAATCTCGACATGATTGCCAATGCTCGCAGCTTCGACCACTGAGCCTGCACCGATGTGCACATGATCGCCTATTTTCATAGGATAATAGTTGAAGTTTCCTCGGTATGTTTTGTAAGGAGGCCTTGGATGGAAGTCAGCGAGAAATTCAACGGCGACAGAACAGCAAAGACGCACCTGACGACGCAGCCTTCTCCAACTACACAGTATCTCCCTAATGAGATCACAACAGCATGTCCAGGTCCCGTTCTGCGAAGATCTCCTCGTATGATAGCACCATTTGATATGATCGTCTTTCCTCCCAAGATGATATTCTGAGGTCCAGCGATCGTCGCTTTCCGTGAGACCTTGTTCCCAGTGTCCTAGAACTACTCAATGAGCTTACAAGCACTTGCTTTCAAGAAATCAACAACGCACAGTCTCTATGAATTCAGCTTTGATATACCATATTGGAGGTAGTAGCGGCATCGCTCGTCCTGAGCCAAATGTGCGACGAACTGAAAAGAGAAGAGAAATCACAGAAGCGGAGATCACGTGCCACACGTTCGGTCTCGTGATTCGGCTTTGGTTTCCATCCTGACGCGTCGTCTCGCTGCGATTGCCCTTCGTTCCAGTCATCACCTCGTATCTGGGTATCTCTCTGGCATCGCATTTTTCTAGTTCCAACTTCATTCCGGTCACTTTGCATCGCATTCTCATTGTCATATTATTATTCTGCACAAGTAAGCTGCATCAACTCTTTGCCAGCCTCAAACTGACTCGACCAGATACTGTATCTATAGTTTACGCTACTCATCATGCTTCGTCGTATGCCCTCTACATCCGACGGCAAAGTCGTCGACCGACTCGTCGAGTCTTCTCGCGTCAACATGCCTTTCAGGTCACCCTCCATAGGCAAGCCTTTGCCCGAAAAGCCTCAGCGAAAACGTCGTCGCGTATCATATAAAGAGGAAGGACAGGAAAGCGATTCGGAGGACTCGGACTCTGGAAAGAAGAAGAAGAAGAAGAAGAAAGATGGAGACTATACAGAAGAACCCGTCGATAACACAGTTAACTACCCCGTCTTCAAACCTAAGCCTTTCGATCAAGTGTTCGGATCTGCGAACAAGTTTGCGATACCTACTATCAAGAACAAATCGGGACAGGTCGTCAAACTAGCCCCTACGTTCGTCTCGTTAGGTCTTCGCACACAACCTATCATTACTCCTCGCCCACTTCACGACCCGATGTCGGAGCATTCGATCGTCCTTTATGATCCTACTATCGATGATCGAGAGACGGAAGAAGAAAAGATGGCTAGATTGAAGGAGGAGGCTAGAGTAAAGGCTGAAGAAGAGGCGGCTGCGAAAGTGAAAGGCATGTTTAATCCGCACAAGAGTCTAAGAAAGCTTCTGGGAGAGGAGACGGGGCCGAAAGACAAGAACAAGAGATTCAAAGTGCCAGTCGTTATTGATCCAATGCTGGGCAAGGTACTCCGACCGCATCAGGTGGAAGGTGTCAAGGTATGAATTCGCGTTATGCCTTCGGAATGCTGACACGAACTTGACTCAGTTCTTGTACAAATGCACAACCGGCATGATGTTGGATAACCAATACGGGTATGTCTGCTTTCTTTTTGGTTGCATTTGCTCATGAGATGGCCAGGTGTATCATGGCTGACGAGATGGGTCTCGGAAAGACGTTGCAATGCATCGCGCTGCTTTGGACCTTGTTGAAACAGTCGCCGCATTCTGGGAAGGGGACGATCGAAAAGTGTATCATCGCCTGTCCAAGCAGTCTGGTGAAGAACTGGGGTAACGAGTTGACCAAATGGTTGGGGAAAGACACCCTCCCAGCTTTGGCCGTCGACGGCAAAGGCTCGCGAGCCGATCTGCAAGAGAGTGTTGAAAGATGGATGGCAGCTACAGGCAGAAATGTTACCTTACCTGGTGCGTGCGGATGAACTCCAGCCGGTCGATTTTCTGAAGGATCCGATCAGTTATGATTGTGTCGTACGAAACCCTGCGTTCATTAACCGAATTGCTTGCAGGAGCGAGCATTGGATTGCTTCTTTGCGACGAGGGTCATAGGTTGAAGAATTCCGAATCGCAGACTTATAAGGCGCTCACCTCCTTAAATGTCAAGCGACGCGTCATTCTATCTGGAACGCCTATCCAGGTAGGTTTCCTCCCTGCACTTCTTGACAGAGATGCTGATTTCGCCCAGAACGATTTATCGGAATATTTCTCCTTGCTCAGTTTCGCCAATCCAGAATTCTTAGGATCGAAAGCGGACTTCAGGAAGAATTTCGAGAACGCGATTATCAAAGGACGCGACGCAGATGCCACTGACGCAGCTAAAGCTGACTGCGAGAAGAAATTGAAAGA